AGCAAGCACAGATACTAAGTTTTGTCGAATCTCTGATGTATATAGCACATCATGCAACATCAAAGAACGGCCACCACGCAAGTCTACTTTGCAAGTGCCTATCCCTTTTACTTCTAGTTTCGCATTATTTCCTACGTAGATCCACCTTGATTTAGATGAAACTCGACGAAACTCCACAAACGCTTCTCGATCTCGACTCACGTGGTCAGTGGATCCTGAGTCTACAATCCACATAGGATAAGATTCAGTTAGTAAAGAAGTGCTAGAAATATTTGTTGCACTTTGAGATGCGTTTAGAAATGCTACCTTTTTCGGCTCAGTACATTTACAAGCGAAATGCCCCAACATTTGGCAATTGTAGCACTTCATGTTGCTCTTGTCTCTCTTCTTGGAAACCCTGTTTTCCTTTCTTGGAATTTGACTTCTCATTTTTCTTAGAGGGTCCTTCTCCAATCTCTTTGTCTTTCCCATTTCTTTTCCAATTTTTCTTGCGCTTGAAGCCTGAAGATTTTGTACCACTTGACTCTACCACAAAGGCATTAGAAGCAGTTTTAGCAGCACCTAGGCGCTCATCTTCAAGTTCAACATGGCGTGCACCAACAGAAAAAGTTTTGATGTTGTCATTATAGGTCAAGTTAACCTTCAAATGTTCCCAATTATTGAGAAGATACCGAATCACTGCCTGAACTTGCTGCTCATCTGAAAGAACATGGCCAACACTCTTGAGTTGAGCTATCATGTTTGACATCACCCTAAGGCGTTGTTTGATATTCTGATCATGACACTTTTTGTAAGTGTCAAATTTGATAATCAACTATCGGAGGCGGGTTACAGACGTACCCCCATATGTTCCTCACAGATGTTCCCACATAGCATGAGCAGTTGAGAATTCCTCACATTCATGTATGAGGTCATCAACCACAGAACTAACTATTATTCCACGAGCAGTGAAATTAACTTTTTTCCAAGTTTTGTAAGCTTCAAGATCCCTTCTGTGTTGTGCAATATTACCCTATTCTGGTTGATACAAAACATGGTTTATACCTTTCAGAGCATTTTGCTCTTCTAGTACATACCATGTTTTATGACTCCAGATGTCGTAATTGTCACCGTTAAGTTTTTCACCTTTGTTTAAGTCAGCAATGATACTTTTTGATGCCATGTCTGTTATGAGATATAATCAGGAAAGATTTTTTAATCAATTATGCATGTGACATACACATTCAAGCAAATCAATTTTCATAAATGTTTCATATTTAAATGTAAAATCGAAAAGACACATAAGCATCCAATCATCATCTACGAATTAAATATTTAACCAAAATTTGAAACTAACTTCCTAATGTATACACTAATTTATTTTAGACTATAATCACACAGATTTGCATGTCTAATAATCAAACACCATGTGACATTATGCAATAGAATAATAATCCACTTATCCAAAACAAAAGAGGATAAAACTCAAATATTCATATTAAAGCACAATCAAAGATGTTCACTACAAAGCTTTGTAAAGGAAAACCAACAAAAGCCAATACTAAAAAGGGATTATGTTGTGAAGTTTTACCCACTTAACTTCTATTTTTACCGTGTACACCCATATTTCTTCATTATCCACAATTTTGATATTAATTTCATTTAGTTCATTCTTCCAGTATTCTGGCAAGGAATGATACAAAACATCGTACCCTCTCTGTAACTTGAATGTCACTTTCATTAAACTTTTCAAATTTCATGACAAAGGTTCTGAGGAAGTCTATTAAAGAGTCAAGAGGATCCATTTTCAAAGACCTAAACTCTCTTAGATCTTTTTCTCTTTTCCTTCGAATGGTCCTTTCATTCCTTAACATATTTTGTGTCTCCTTTGGGACACCAATCCGTACGATTTCTCTCCCTCGGAAACATGTCTTACGGCGGGTTGCTCTTCTACCTTATCCTTTTGCTCGACTTTGAGAACTCCCACTTAGAGTAATTTGAGCGTGTATCCGTTCAGCCATATCTGAAATGAGAACAAAATGAAAATATGGTTAATATCATTTAATGCGACAACATATGTCATAAATTTCTCATAAAAGACAAGCAACTGTTTAAGGAACATAAGGACTAAACGAATAAACAAGACAAATAAGATCCTAAAAAAGAACACATATTCTTTTTCCAAAAAAATAAAATAATCCTAAATAGGACACAAATCTCATCCCAAAAAAAAAATTCTTAAAAATATGGATTCTTTTTTCAGCCCAACTTAAAAAATTCATATCTCACTCGTTTTAAGTCTGTTTTTCTATTATAATATATTTTCAGAAAGCTACAAACGAGTAGATCATGAAAAGTTATGTTTCGAACCAAAAAACTGTACACCCAATTTCCAGATCGCTACAAATAGAAGCAGTTTTTCCAGAAAACAGTAAAAAAAACCAACTTTCAAAAATTCATATCTCACTCGTTTCAAATTCATTTTTTCATTATAATATATTTTTGGAAAGCTACAGACGAGCAGATCATGAAAACATAAGTTTCAACCAAAATTATTGTAGAAGTAATTTTCAGATTGCTACAAATAGAAGCAGTTTTAAAAAAAATAAATCAAAACTTCATTCTTATCAAGAAAAAATGAATCTTATCTACAATATGAGTCAGAATCAAATAAGATTTTGAATCCTATTTACCATATGATTAATCCACATTCAAACGTCCAAAAACAACTTAACATCTTCCAATTTTTTTCTATTCACTGATTTTAAAAAAAAAAAAAATTCTTTTCAACTTACACAATGAATACACAATGAAGCAGTGCGTAATGAGGTCAATTAATCTGGCTCTGATACCAATGAAGGAATTTTAAAGTCAAAACAATAACAAGATGTGTACCTCGTAACTTGCAGCGAAAATATTTGTTATTGATTTTGTTGTCGAAAGAAATTGTTCTAGATCACTCTTTGAATCTCAAGGAAACAAAGATCGGTCTGTGTTCACAAACTAAGAGTCTTCTTAGAGTGTTGATTGATTTTTCTAAGAAACTCACTTCTTTGTTTCTTTACTGATCGCTAGTTTTTGTTTTTCTGTTTCTTACATTCTCCTCTCCTCTTTTTCACGTTCCACACTCCTTGAAAGTGACTCCCACTAGGAGTCTTTTAAGGGGAGGCAGAACAGTTACACTGTAACTGTTCTGCCTTATCCTTTTAAAAGGAATTATCCTTATAATTAATCAATTAATTAATTAATTGGATAGGGCAAAATATATTTGGTCGGGGTTGGTCCACATGGGCGACCCACGACCCAAACTTACAGTAATTTTCTTATATTATTGTTGTAGTATAAGATTTATGCTTTAGTTTAACTCCATGAAGACGGTTTTTGGATGTTGATAGAAGGAGAGTTGGACAAAAGCTCAAAAAAATTATTTCATTAGTGTACATAGAATTGAATGGGGAAATAATTATTTCATTGTGATTGCAATATCTGCAAAAGGATACAAAAGTGTGGAGTTACTTTATATCAGCACCAAATTCAAATTCATTCATAGAGAAGGGTTTTTCAAAAGATGAGAAAATGGTGGGTTCCAATGCAATCGTTGGATGGGTGAGCAACGACAGGTCTTCCACAATGAAGAGGTATTTCTGGGTGGACAATCACTGGCAGAGGTTGTGCCAGACCAAGGAAATCTTGAGTTGGTGAATATGACATCCTCCATTATAATTGAGAATTCAAGGATTTGGGGCTGTTTTGATTTGGATATATTATTAGGGTGTTAATGATTAGTGGGTGGGTTAGATTATTTGGGCGTTCTCTTTTTTTAATGGGAAAAGGCTCAAATATGCCATTGAACTTTCAGAAAAGGTTCATTTATGTCATCCGTTAAAAGTTTGGCTCATCTATGCCATTACCGTTTAAGAAAAGGCTCATTCATGCCATTATTTTTTAACGGTTGTTTTGCAAAACCATTTTTTAAAATGTTTGTTCAGAATTTTGATTTTTTATTATAAAAAATAATAATGACGTGGTCGAATTATAATTGGTCAAGTGTCAAAAATGGTTTTGCAAAACCACTGTTAAAATGTTTGTTCAGAATTTTGATTTTTTATTATAAAAAATAATAATGACGTGGTCGAATTATAATTGGTCAAGTGTCAAAAATGGTTTTGCAAAACCACTGTTAAAATGTTTGTTCAGAATTTTGATTTTTTATTATAAAAAAAATAATGACGTGGCCGAATTATAATTGGCCACGTGTAAAAAATGATATTGCAAAAATTGAATTAAAAAAAAATAATGATGTGGCCGAATTATAATT